GTGAAAAGGAACTTAAGTGCATCACTTATCTTTATTTATTGTGGAAACACTTGATTTTCCTTTAATAAAGCACATCATTTAGTCACAGTCCTTTTTCTGTCAAATACCGAACTTATAAAATTAGACAGGCGATTCTGTGTGAACAAACATTTAATTTCATTTTGATATATATAGTTTTTAAATAACAATCCTTAGTAATAAAGTAACACATTTTATTTTGAAATGAATTATATATCCTCTAAGGAAACTAACGTGAATTATGCTCTTAATGCGGAGGGTAAGAAACACACCAGTTTTGTTGCAATAAGAACCATCAACACATTACCGGTGTGACACTGTTAATACTGGCATTTGAGATTTTTTTTTTTTTTTTAAATAGATGTATAAAAAATGGTTTGTATTGATGACATTTAAAAAAAAAAATTCCCAATTTGTGTATTCACAAACAGCTACACAGTTTGAACTTTACTTTAAAGCAGATTTTTGACAAATAGTGCTCATAGAAACAAGTGATGTTACACTCATACAGCTGGCGGTTTAAAGCAACACCAACATAGTCAGCAGCCAGGGATCATGGTTATTTATCAGTTTTCATGACCGTAAGCTTAAAGTGGCCATCTATAAATGTCTCCAGTATAATTATATAGTTTCTTTTTTGAAAAGCTCTTTAGATATTTCTGCTGCTTTGGCCTCTGTTTGGTTTACATGACGTTATGTTCTCAGTGCAAATAATCTGAATTTACATCTGTACACGCTGGTAAAATGAGCCTGCTTTGGAGGAGTCGTTCCTTACTCGTTACCTGTAGAGTTTTTATCCTAAGATTTCAGATTTAAAAAGAGAATTTGAATTTTTTAACATCCTGCTGTCCACAAAAGCCACAAGGCCTCAGTCTTAAAGCTGAGGCGTTGTGGGTCATTTTGACCCAAGGATAGTTCTGTGGACAGATGAGTTTGCAGTATCCTTTTCCATTCCAGTATTCCTGCTTGCACTCGACGAAGACGGACACTTTTTCTCCCGCTCCTGCCTCTCTCCTGCTTCTGCTCTTGCCCTGTGAATCTTTTTCAGAGCCTCCCTTTACATATCTTCCAAATCATAAATTATGGATATGGTCAGCTGGTCTCTCAACGCAATTGATACAATTTTCTCGACGAGAAGACAGGGTGCAGGAGAGACCTCATGCCGTGAAGGGACACTCGCAGCTAAGGACACTATGGATTCCTGGGGGCAGTGGAAGATGAGGCGTCTGTCCGTATTGTCCGTTGAGGATGTAGAAGATGATAACAGGTTTTCTGCTTTTTGGAACTGGCAGGTATCTGGCGTATCAACAAATTCAGAAGATGCCAGCAATGGTTCTGGCAATTGTGAGGCTGCCTGCCTTGTGTGAAGGAATGCGCTGTGCTTCGAGCACTCAGACTCACAGGCTTTGTGAGCTAAGCCGTAAGCTGGATGCAATTTCTAAGAATCACAGGCCATTTGCAGCTCCGGGAACTTGCTGGCGTGAAGAAATCAACCAGAAGTCTACAAGCACAGCCCGGTGGAGTGACTACAAAATTTGGCTGTTTGGAGTTGCCATTTGAGAAGTACCAGCAGAACTTTGAAGGCAGACAAAAAATGAAGCAGAGTCGGCCTGACCCAAAATAATTATTTGAATCTGGCTTCCCCGCTGGCCTTGAATAGGCCAACTATCTCAAAATTCTACTGGAGGTTATGTGAACAAAAAGCTCTGCTCTGCTCAGCCTCCCCCCCTCCACCCGAGGACATCTGTGGACCTGTATCAGAGCTGAGCCGGCTGATAGAAACTGTGCCATCTTTATTAGGACTATGGAACTTTCTGGCAGTGCCCATGGACAACTCACCACCTTTGTCAGCCTCCTCATGCATAAATGTATTATGATGTCATTAGTATGTTGTTGTTTATGTGCGAGATACTACTTTTTTTTTTTACCTCCCCTCCCCTCGTATTTGTTTTTACTTATATACATTTGTCTGTCCGAAACAGGTCTCTCTTGTAAACGAGTCCTCGAGGCTCAATGGGATCTATCCTGTATAAATAAAGGTTGAATGAAAAAAGAAGTATCTTACCTGACAGAGACAAGAATGAGAGAGTTTCTCATGAAGGAGTCACAACTAGTCAGACTGGAGGTGATTCCAGAGCCATTTACAACTTAAATGCCAACATTTTTCTAGCAGTTCTGCTCTTGTAAGAATCTTGACACCACATTACCTTTGCACGAAATAATTTTACAAACCAGGTAACCCTAACGTTGACGGTTTTCAACGTGTGTTTGACATAAAGCGTGTTCCAACAGACTACGCTGTCAGCACGCCTGGTCTTCAGTATAGTCTTTCCAAAAAACATCCATTTTAACTGATGCAAAAGTAACACTGGGTATCAAATTTACAATTACAGCACATCCAGTGCAGTTGCTCTAAAAACATTTGAAAGTTTGAGCTATTTTGGGTGGATGTAAGCAACATAGATAATTTATCTTGTATTCTTCAAACTGAGATTGTTCTGTCTTCTATGAGTAACACGGCTACTCAAAATGAGTCCCAAGGATGCTACTTCAAAAAATGTGAAACTGTCTCTTTAAATGTTTTAGATGGAAATCTAATCATTCTATCGATCAGGCGGCAGCAACATACTGTCACATCGTGTGCAGCTGTTGGACCCTGGAGCTAACTAAAACCACAGAAACTAATGTTGTTATATAAGCAGTTACACAGGCAGTAGGTTATCTAAAAGGACATGCTCGAGTGTCGTCGGTTACTTTAACAACAAGTGTTGCAACACCGGTTAGTTTGATGATGCAAGCCAGTATCACCAGTGAAAGAGATCTATTTATAACGTTATTCAGCGTCCTATCACACAGCATCTGTGCCTGCAAAACGCTAATATTACCTACCAATCAAATAGGCTTCGATTTGAATTAGAATTATTTTTATCCTTGGAGAGGTGAGTTTAAATCTAAAGACAGAGCATCACTTCCTTTGGTTCAAGTCTTCCTTAGACACGAAAGTCCTCAAATGACAGCGTACTGATGCACACAGAGTACGAGGTAACTTGTTCAAAAGGACAAATCAGAGCATTTATCATATTCACAACCATTAGACCAGAAGTCATAAACAGACATTAAAGCTGTGTACATAGATATTTTACATACAGACATATATTTCACAATTAAATCCGTAAGGCCTAGATTGTTTTGATGAAAACATGTTTTTTAGGCGTCACGCCTCCTGCTGGGGTCAGAGTGGGTGTTACCATGTCTCGCTGACGTCAATGGAGCCATGGCTACAGTTCAGCTGTCCTTGTTGTCCCCCCTCTTCCACCCTCACCCCGTCTCTGCTCTTATGAATAGCCTGTCCAGTAGAGGACATGCCGTGCCAAGCTCTGCCAAGCTGTGTCAGTCCGATCAATCGTTTTGAGCCGAGGATGCTGGTAGAAGACTAATAGAAAGAACGAAGGAGGCATTGTACAGATTTTGTGCTGTTAGAGCTTCTGTTTCACTGTAGGTTCATACAGGAAGGGGGTTTAGCTAAGAAGACGCCTCGTTAAAATCCCTCATCCTGTGGAGGTGCCAAACTGTAAGAAAGGGTTGTCATTTACATACACGCACACGCTAAAACTGGAACTGGAGATCGAAAGAAAAGCTGAGCATCCAAGACACAAAGCAGGTACAGGGGAAGATATCCAACTTCCACTATAAAAAGGTATATAGAAAAATGAATACTCGGTTTGTTAATGTTTAAAAAGTCCAACGTTTAGTTGGATTAGTTGTATTGATAGGCAAAAATCACAACAGGTGACAGAAAAGAGAACTAACTAGCGAGACAGAGAGGGGACCCAGAAACTCCCCCTCCCACTCTTTATTTATACCCTAAAGACAGCAGGCTAAGATTTCTGGCACCAAAACACACGTCACGCTTACTATTTTAGTGTGAGGCGCCACATAGCACCAAGAGGTTGGATGACAGGGCTGAGGCATCCTGGGGCCAAGGGACTTCCGCACATTTGTCCACCGGTCTTTACATGACTTTTCACACCTTAACTACCTCTGCCAGGTTATATGTGCATGTGTATATGTTTTATTTATGGTGCGTATACTATAAAATTAATGCGCTTTTATAGGTGCGTGTATGGGTGAGCTCAGGATTGTGTGAAAATGTGATCCCTCACCCTGAACAGAGCCGAGGTGTCAAAGAGGTCAAAGGTTGTTGATGTAGTCTTATGAGGCGTGAAGCACTGAACATGAAATGTGATCTCTGTCTGTGCAGCACGCTGCATATCCTGTTCATATATACCATAACTACTCGTGAACGAAGACTCTAGAAAGTATGATCATTTGATAAGAGCTTGACAAAGCAACTGGAAGTCATAATGGAGAATTTTACAATGCGGGTATTGTTTAATCAGCTCATACTGGGTTGAGGTTGGTGGCCACATCAATGGTACCCAACACAAGAGCTTCCACTGCTGTTGAATGCAGGGATCTGCTGCTATCAGATATCGACACAAAATGCAATCAATCATCAACATTGAACGATTATAGAACGAGAGAATGCAATGCAGCGAAACACAAAGTCAAGTCTTCATGTTGAGTAGTCATATTTATTACCAAGAAAAAACATTGAAGGCATAATAAAACTTTTCGTCACAGTAATTACTTGAACACATTCTGACATTATGATAGTCAAACACACTTGTTGACAGGTTGTAGGTTGCCACAGCAAGCGTAGTACCAGCTTGAGCTCAGCCATGAAGGTTGAACACGTGAACCCTCAAAGTAGAGCCGCATGCTAAATCACATCGCACAAAAACAACAACAACAACAAAAAAACACCTATTTATTACAAAAGATAAAGCCTAATATGGATAAGTGGAGAAAAAAAAGCAACAAAGCAATGTGATGATGTGTTTTGGCACAGAGGAGATTTAAAGCTACAGCAACACTGGAGAATGTTGTAGATAAACACATCACTGTGAGGAGATCAGGCTGTCGAACAGAAATATCCTTAATATTTACAGTTTGAAAAGAGAGGAACGCGCTTGGTTGGGACAACAAAGGATCATATAATGACAGTCTCCGTCTGAAGAGAATAGGAAATGAGAGGCCGGTGCTTCGGAGCAGGACTGGGGGAGCGAGTCATGGGGCTCGGGGTGCGGTAGATTGGGCCAGACGGCGTGGTGATTCTGGCAGTAGGGGTGCGGCTGGCCCATCTGGAAGGCGGCCGCTGGTTGGCAGGACGAGCAGGACGAGAGAAACTCCTCCTTAGTTTGGCTGGGGACAACTCTGCTGGGTTCACCTGCACAGAAACACACAAAAAGTCAACGGCGATCGGAGATCGAGACAGCTGAAGGTGAATAAAGGAGCAGAATGCAACCTACTTGCTGTGCCTCTTGTTTATGAGCTGTGAATCCGGTTCTGGGGCTGGAGCTGTACTCATGTTGGATCTCCAGCATGTCCAGCAGCTCAATAAGTCCCTCATCCCTCAAACTGCTGCAACCTTCCAACTCTTGTCCTCTATGACTCCTCTGAGCTCCAGCAGAAACATCTGAGGCCTTGCAGTCCACTTTGGGCTCCATCTGTTGGGGTGAGGGCTTCCTTGCTTTCTCTCCACTGTTAGCCCTGGGTCTGATCTTTGGGCTTCCTGGCACCTGCGCTCTCCTTTGGACCTGCTGAGGAACCGACTGAGACCCTTTGGAACTACTATGGCCTCCTCTCTGCTCCTTGTAGTTGTGTCTACAGTCTAACCCTGAGCTCCAGTCTTGGCTGAGCTCAACACTTGCTGTCAGCGCGTCAGACTCTGCTTGGCATTTCTGGTTAGGCACACGCATGGGCGCCTTGCTGGCTCCTCCAGTGACTCCCAAAGCCCGTCGCTGACAGCCAGGAGTGGAACACTTTGCCTCTGGTCCCTGATGGGTCACCACCCCTGAGTCGGTAAGCAATTTACCCTCGTTCTCCTGGAGCATGGCTCCAAATTTCTTTAGAACAGACGGACTGTGACACTTCCTGTCTCCCAGGACTCCTTGACTGAAGGACTTTCTGTCCAAAGAGGGAGACTCAGCTGCTGTGGCTGGGAACTGTAGGCGTGCTTGTGCAGCTGAAGCATCCCTCTGTCCAACAGGGGGCTTGGCAACCGTGTTCTCCTTGATGGGGGAACTCTCTCTGCAGGGGGCGCTTTTCATGTGAGACACTCGGTTCTTCCTGTTTTCACTTTCTTCAAAACTGCCCACACAGGGCTCTTGCTGAAGCCTGGTTTAACACAGAGAATATATATATAAAAAACTATAAACAACACAAATGAGTTAGATTTAATTGCATATTCTTATTTAACATGTCCTCTACCTCTTAGTCCTACACCTACATTCTGCACATTTACATCACGTGATACGGGTGTCCAAGTTAGTTTTAGGATTTAGAGGAAAAGTAGTAACGGCTAATTCGCCCTTCAAGTGGAAAATTTTCAAGAAGACACTTCAAATAGTTGCAGTGAATCCGATATCTCAGGTGATGTTGAAGTGGCTCATTCATGGTCACATTTAACAAAAAACAACAGTAGGAAATTGAATTCTACAATCCTCTTTAAATTCAAAGTAAAAGAGCAGTGGTTAAAATATTCCACTGTGAAATGAAGCCAATACACCATCAGTTGCCACTGATGTCAGTATATGATCACTTGTTAACAAAAACAATAGTCTCTTTGAAGCAGGGCTCTGTTTCATAGTGTAACGTTCTAACCACCAGTTGTAACGTTGAATGCACGACTAACGGCTGAGAAACTTCTTACCGATTATTTCCACATCTCGTTCTGCCTTTGTCCTGGTATGCAGAAATGTCTTGGTTCACTTTAACTACGTCACTGAAGTGCTGAAAAAAAAAACATACTTTACAATCTATTCTGCTAAAACAATCTAATCTATTCATGCACAGATAGCAAAGATGCTATATCCCATGTGGACGGAGAATGTGTCAACTTTCTTCTCAACTGCTCTGTCAGGTGTCAAGAAAGTGCAAGAGTTGGGTTGGAGAGTGAAACAAACTCCTATCTGGTAACTTCCCTGTGTAAGCAGACTTCAGGGAACTGTAATCAATATGTTCCTGCCGTAACCACAGCTTTCACTCATGCCGCGTCAGCCGATCCCGTTTCTTCATACGTGCAAATACCAACAAAATGAAGCACAAGGAAGAAAACTCCCCCCACTCACCACGTGACGAGCCCTGTTGTTCTTCCTGCTCATCTTTTTGCCTTTCTCCAAATAATCCTGCAGCAAGTCTCCAATCTCTGTGACGCCGCTGGAGTGGCAGTAACCGTAGCCGTGCTGATGACTCACAGGGTGGCTGCACCCGTTGGGGCCGTAGTGATGTACGATTATATCGCCAGAGTGAGTCACGCTGTGGTGGCCGAGCCCAAAGAGGCCGTCGCCGTGGTGCCTTAGTCCAGACTCCAACGGGGCGCAATGTTTCTGGTCATCACCAGGAATATCGTTTGCTCCTCTGCGTGCCTGGACTTCATTGTAGAGCTTGAAACCAAAAAAATAAAAAATAAATAAAATTAATATTGACCTTGTTGTCAGATCGCTGAAGCTAATAATTTGTACTTCCACTGTATGTTTGTGTTAGAATTTCCACAAAGTGACCTATATTTAAGATCAACACATGTTAATCCACTTTGCACACGCGTCCGTTCCCCATCGCAACCTTCCTGTGGTATCCACTTTCAGACCATGTGTGTGTGTGTGTGGCAGAGAAAGTGTGTGTCCAGCGTGTCTGTCAGCACATCACGGTTTAATTAGCTTGTTAACATTTGTCTGTACCGTTGCTCCAACAAGGCCAAGAGGTTGAGTCAGTTTGTGCTCTGCCAACAGTTTATTATGGAGCGCGCGCACACACACACACACACTCACACACACACACGCACACACACCAATTACCACTCACTAGGGAGCACAAAAGCTCCTAACGAGACAATTAGCACATGTATGAGAGGAATAGTTCAGGATTATTGTTGAACCACATTAAATTCTGCTCATTTTCTGCTGTTGAGTTAAAACATTCTACAGAAAATGTCTGACCCTTCACTATCACTAATTGAACCTAATAAATTTATTCTCCCCCACCTTTTTTTTTTTTTTTTTTAATTGGTGGATAAATTGTACAAACCAGACCCAGAGGTGGGGAAGAAGCTTGGATTATGGCTCTGAGAGTGCTGTATTTTTCCCATAATGCACCTCGCATGACGGACCAAATATCAATTTGTGCAAGATTTTATGAAGAATATTTGTAAAAGAGCTTTATCCTTCCACGTCTATAAGATCTGTCTCTTACCTCTTCAATTTTCTTCTGGATATCCTGCAGCTGATCCTCCCACTCCTGCATCTCAGAGTCAAAGTTGTCCAGCATTTCCGGCCTCTCTTGCCCCCACCCCCGGCCGCTGCGCTCCAGCCTGAGCTCCAGATCAATTGCTGCCATGATGCAAGCTGTTCGATACCCAGAGGCCCTTTCTCCTGTTTCACCCCCCCTTGTTAGAGGTCGCTGTCAGGGTCAGGAACAGAAGGATCGATGGCCTGGAAACACACAAAAAAAAGACAGGATTGATAATTGTGCACACATTACATAAGTGAAAAGTTAATTATTTTTTTATTAAACATGAGTTTTTATGTTAAAAATGTCAAAATCCTGGTGAAGCCACATTGTTGGCAACAAAAAAGAATCTGAGTTTCTCGTCATATTTCTCAGTTGTCTGAAACAACATCAGGTTATGCTTTCTGCTCCTATATAAGTCACATATTTACAACTCTCTGCTTTGACGTTCTCTAAATTCCACAAACAAGTCAACCTTCAGTATCTCTGCAGACATGTTGGTCTTACTGTCCTCTAAACAATCCTCAAGTCAACAAGGACAACTTTCACTACAACCATGAGCCAGCAAAGCTGCATCTCCTGACATAAAACATACAGAAAGCATAATTATTATCTTTAGAATGAACTGTTTAGTGTTTAATTGTCCCTGCTCTCCATCTGTCCTCACACTCGGGACCGAATGTCCACGATGAATTTCAGCTGCGTCACATCCCTCATGCCTTCAAGCCCACCCCTCAGATTCTTCAACAGCTGACGAAGCCACTAAAAAAAAATATCAGCGTTGCTGCTAATTATGAAGTAAATAAAAACAACGAGGCATTCTGTTGTCATTATTAGAGGAAAGTGCCTGAATGTAACGGTCCTCCTGTGATGTGAGTGAAGATACTATGCCTAGTAAGAGCACGGAATACATGCAGTATATGAAAAAGTAAATCAAATAGCAGCAGAGTCTGATAACTTCATGTAGATAAACTGGAGGCTTAAGCCGTCTTATGTGGCTCCAAACAGCAGAAAAATGACCATTAAACACAACAGTTCTTACCTGAACACCTGCCCTCCAGTAATTATCCTGTACCTGCTCTGATCCCTGCGCAGTTCGTCCTGCTCTCAGAGACACCTTCTCTCGAACAGATAAAACGTCTCCTCTCCGCCGCGCTACCCTTCGCTTTCCCACCTCGGCTCTGTTACGTAAATTACGGCGGACGCGATTTAAAGAGGGTCCCCAACTCCCTCCCTCCGTCCTGCGAGTTAAGACCGGTGGAGATGTGAGCTGTAAAGGGTAAACATCTTCTGTTCCAGCCGGGCTCCCCTGGCTTTATACTAGCCCCTCCTGCAAGAGCGCGCGCCTACTGACTTGGGCTCAAATATCATAATGTCAAATTTATTCCAGCATTTGAAGTCTCGAAGGGACGACTGTCGTCACCAGCATCCTGGCTATAATTACCGGGGCGCATGGAGAGAGGGAAAGTGTTTACATAGCTGTTTCAGCTGCTGCTCTCCTCGCAGCCAATGGGCTTCTCTGTTGCTACTCTGCTTTTAGGATGCTCTGGCAGATTTTGCCTTGTGACCACGCCGCGCTGCAAATCATTTTTCCAAAGGGTGCCAAATGGGCGTAGGTGACACAGTGAGTAATAATGTGTCACGGTCAATAATATCTTTATTGAGGACAGTCACGAAGAGGAGACTGTCAGGTGGACGCCTGGCGTGCTCGATATATTTTAAAGGCATTCTTTAAATTCTTTTAACCTTCAGTACATTGAAAAATAAAATACAACACAATCAACCCAAATAGCACTTTTAAATTGTGCAGTGAAGCAAATTATCCACTTGAACTCAGGGAATGGACTGTCTCCCGAGGGCTGTTTATGTTTCACAATCAAATACATCAATCAGCCCAAATTAGGCGCTCTGTGGGGAATTTCAGGGCTCCCCCAACAACAGGAGCTGACATTTGGCATGTGATGATTGAAATTCCTTTCAGTTTGAAGCCCCTTGGATCACCGTTCCTCCACCTGTTGTGCTCCTTACTTAATGACAAACCCCTCATGAGTTAAGGGGAGGAACACAAACAAACTTTGTCCTTACGTTACCTTTAGGAAAAATCAGCAGCAGGACGGCAGGGCAGGGGTTGCTCTGGAAAACAAAGAGACATTCTGACTTTACAACACGCTACAGGGGACAATATTTATAGTGGCAAGGTTAAAAAAAGATTGTTGTGGTTTTGTCTTTGCCAGAGTTCGCTTTAAAGTGAACCTTCAGAGTTTCTGTTAAAACGGTATGAATAATAACTATCTTACCTGTTGTAGATAGCTCTTTAAATGACAGTTTGATTGGATAAACTAGTGGTTCCCAATCCAGGTCCTTGAGGAACACCATCCTGCATGTTTTAGATGTTTCTCTCCTCCAACACACTTGATTCAGTGATTTAATTACTTCCTCGTGTTCTGTAGAAGCCCCATTTATTTAAATCAGGTGTGTCAAAGCAGGGAAACAACTAAAAGATGCAGAATGGTGTTCCTCAAGGACCAGGGTTGGGAACCATTGGGATAAACAAACTGATTTCTAGCCTGAGCAGGGCCAAGACCAAAATAGACTCCCATTTAAAAACGCTTCCAGTTTCAAAGGTGTCGTAGTGTTTCATAAGAATACTATTTTATAAAATTCACATAGCCTTAAGTGTCATATTAGACATAACCTTCTGTAGTTATTTGCAGTTATTTGCATTTGTGTATTTTTTGCAGTTCATGATATTCTGACAGAAAAATTGTGTAATGCAAAAATGACAGAGGGGTGGTTGTTTATAAAACCGTATGATCAACTATAAAAGTTTTATATTGTAATAGTTTTAAGCTAACTAGCTGTTAGCTTGTCTGTTTGAGCTTGTTCCTCCAAATGGAGACCATTTAATAGTCTGCCTCCAACAGGTGAAATATTATGTATGATTTGAACTGTTCCTGTAAGACTTTCCACTGTTGTTTAGCTATTTTTTTCTGTTGTACATGTACAAAGTACATGTATCCTGTTCATGTCTTTCAAACAGCTTATATTTTGATTATTTACAGATGCATAACTATATTTTTAGAGATCAGACTGTTTTGGATCACAAGGTTTAATGTAAAAAAAAAACAGCTTTAGTTTAAATGCGTTTCTGTTGCCATCTTTGGTCTGAAACACTGTTTAGCTCCTAGATGACTTCTGTTGTGACTTGGCAATATATAAATAAACTGAATTGAATTGAATTGAATTTATTGAAACGCTATGTTCAGTTTACCTCAGAATTCAGAACTAATCTGGAAATGACCCAACGTGGCCATGTTTCAGTTGCAAGTTTGAAAACCAGTGTGGTATTCCCAGCATTGTGATATGTGAGCAGGCTAGCTACTATTAGCAAAGTGAGCAGATAAAGTAATGGAATTTTATGGATTATGGATCCAAACACAAGCAAACTCTTCACATCAGGAAGTACAGTAGTCCCTCGATACTTGGCGGTTCGTTTTTCGAGGACTCGCTCTGTCGCGGTTTTTCAAAATAAGATTGGACATGACACACTGATGGATGAGCTGCACGATCGGCGTGGAGTTTTTATTTAAAATGAATTATTTTTAATTATTTAGCACCTGATGCATCTGTGTGCTCCTTCCTCCTCTGTCGATCTCCATTCATCGGCGGAGAAGTGGGTGTGGCCGAGAGCACAGAGTGCAGCCGTGGCCGAGAGCAGAGATCATGACAAGCTGTGCTTTTTTAGAGCATTTAGAGTTTAGAAACATTGTTTCGAATATTGCAAGAGTGTGGGAAGGGTTTAAACGCCCTAATACTGTGTGTATTTATACACAATGTACTAAAATAAACTACTACTTACTACTTGTACTACTATTCCTACTTTGCGGTTTTTCACTTATCTTGGCTTGTGGAAAGCCTCCGACTTCACATGTTGAAATGTCAACTTTGGAGGCGTTCCAAAACTTTTACAAATGATAACTCACAAATTATGTTCAAATGAAATGTACAGTCTGTTCTGATGCAAGAAGAACTTGGCAAAAACAGTGAGAAGCAGATGCTCTTTCTTTATTTAAGATATGCCAAAACAGTCAGTATAGATGAGCTAAATGCTAATATGGGTTTGATGAATTTATTAAGACCAGTGGGCGGGAAAGCCTAATTTGTCAGCTACATGGTTCAGGACATTTAGGAGCTCTGACTGTGGAAGAACAGTTTATGCAACTTTAACAGTTTTCACGAATGCTATGCTACATTGAAGAAAATGAAGGAAAAAATATGTTGCGTATCACGAGACGGCATCTGTTTTCCAACAGTTCTGTGTATTTTTCAAGCTTTTAAAGGCTGCATCTCATAACCTTCGTTGGAAGCAGACTACGTTTTGCTTTTATGATGGCTTATCTCACCTGTGGTCACAAACTTTGGGTAGTGACTGAAATAACAAGACTGCAGGTCAAAATATATATATTTTTTGGAAGACGTGGCTTTGGAAAGAAATGTCTGAGTCTTCCTGCTCAAGCTGCTCACTATGGAACAAGCCGAAGAAAACTAATGGATGTGCAAAGTAAAGTAAGTAAAACCTTACATAAGGCTGGACGTTACGTAAGATTACGCAATTTGTGCGCACTAAATATAAAAACTGCTTCCAATCTATCTAATAGGCTGCTGGCTCGAGCTTTATTTCAGACATTCAGAACTAAGACTCTTTAATTCTGACGCCTGAACTCTCAGCAAAAAAGTGATTAACTCTGCACCGCACAGGCCAAGATTAGTAACATCATTTTGGCTGCTCTCTTCTTCAGGGGTCGCATGAAAGATTTACACCAGATGCCCTTCCTGATGCAATCTGGGCTCGAACCCGCAACACTGACCACGAGCTCATGGATTAAAGTAGAAAAAAATATTTTGACTGAAATTTTTTCTACACTTGGAGGTCACCCTAACCCCCCAATATGACACATTTGAGAGCGTTTTCCTGCATTCTGGTCACTTCTCAAAGGTTTTCATATAAAGAGGAGTATACCGAGTACATGACCGTAGTAGTACACAGTATAGTGTTCTCTAACATTCTCTAATGAAGTGTTGATGTAAGTAGACTTTAACTTGCATCAACGGTTTCTGAGGGAAGAGAGAAGTTTTAATAACTTTTCTCTAGTTTACTTTTAGAGAGGTTGTCAGATATATTTAAACTGTAGCACAGAAAGTCTTTTGAAGAGTATAAATTAACTGTTTTTTTGTTTTTTCAGGACTGACAGATTTCTCTCCTAAAATTATTGTTTCATTTACAAGGATAGTATTTACTGGTTTTCAGCTCATGCAGTTATTCAATACTATTTATTGTTAATATTTGATCATTTATTGAATTGGTCACAGTGCAGTTACAGCTCAGTATGATTCTAAATATAATCCAGTTTAGCTCATCCAAACTGACACAACAGCTTGTTGTTGTGTAGAAGTGAATTTAGCAGACGCTTATGATAAACTACAAAACACCTGAAACTAACTCTCAGAGAGAACTTCTTGAGTTGAGGGAACAAGAATTAAAGTTAAACAGAGACACACATCTTTGCTATAATTTGGGGCATAAATATTTGTCTTTTAGTGTTAATATTAATTTAGAAAAACTAAAGCCTCTCACCGTGAGAGAAACTCAACAGGCTGTGCGTTCCCACAGCGGTGCACGTCTCTTATCTCCATCTCTGACCTGGAGTTGCGTCACGCTCGCAGGTTGCACATGTCTGTCCGATGATGATGAACCGAACAAATTAACGTTTAATTAGACTTTAGATCCAAGAGTCCCGGGAGGTCAGGGCACGGTGTGGGAGGAGGGGGTGGGGTGATGGTGTATCAGTTCTGGCATCACCCCCAGCTGCAGTTAGTTGATCACATGCAAACACATTAACATTAACTTATTACATCATCACCTTCATGAAGGGGCAGGTGGTTCTGTTAGGGTAGCAGGGGGTCCTCCTTCGCTTGCTGCAGGTGAGTTACCTGCAGTTTGTCTCTGCTGCTCACACCCGGCTTCACTGTGAACTAGACAGCACGACCCGCCCTGCTTTGCTCTGATTGGGTCAAACTGTGGCTCCGGTTCATTTTACAGGTTAAAAGCAGCATCATTTTAATCCCTGTACCATCATTAGATTGGATGGCTTTAACTAGCCCACAACAAAACACTGGTCACGTTCACAATGACGGAAATCCGACGCAGCGACGGAAAACTTTGTGAGCTACCGCCGTCACTACTGCACAAGCCAAGAATGAATTCCTATAACCATCCGGTCTG